TATAAGTGAAAAGAGTGATATTTTTTTGTCTGCAATTACCCAATTTACTCTATATGTTCAGAAATAAAGGATAACACGGATCTGGTTTGTTATCGCCTCCCCTCAAAATTTTCAAATTTTTTTAGGGTGGGATGAGGGTGAGAATAAGAGATATGGAACTCTTGCCCTCATCCTCACCTTCAAGCGACCTTGTTTCGTTTTAGAATAACAATAAAAAGCATTAAAAACTTTTTTTTTGAGGGGCAGCGAAGGGGCGATAAGAAACTAGATTCGACAATACTCTAGTTGTAAACATCTCAATTTCACAAATTATTGAGAAAAGATACATGTCAATAAATTGAAGAATTTATTATTAAATATTTTACCAAAAAAAATTTGCACTAATCCATGGCTAATTCATGACGGATTAATGACTGTTCGATCGGTGAATTAACCCACTGGACAAAAAATTTATTATTCAACTCGTGAGACAGGTCGAATTCGATTACAAACGAGTCGGATCGAAAAAGAAATCTATCACCAACATCTCTGATGTAAATAAATGTTATGAGAATATGTGAAAATTATTTTTCTAATATTATTTGACTCTTTTGTTTACTATTATTTTCTAATGTCATGTGTTTTTATAGAAACGTGAAATGAAATTGAAAAATAATTTGTCTTCAATTTTTATTTGTGATCAAGCAAAGAGTTAAGTAGTTTCTTGAATTTTGATATTCATGATGATTTTGGGACAAGTAATGATAATTGATCAATTATGTCTTATTGAATCAGTTGACATTCGAAGTTTACTCTCTTCTTAGAAGGTGCTATCTGTTAAGACAACTATCAAAGATGAAGGGAACAAAGTGAATGTCGCTGTAAAAGTAACAAAAATGATTAAACATAGAACTATTTGCTGAATCTCATTATTTTACAATAATGAAATAAAATTAACTATCTTTTGTCTGTATTGTTTTTGTTTACAAGTTATTTGAGTTTTAGGAACATGGTGAATTTTGTGAAGGTAGAGAAGGTGATCACAGTGTTAATGAGATATTCGATAAATAATTTTCTCATGACGTTTGTTTTTTGTCAAACTTTATCCTAAAAGTACTTTCGATATATTTAGAAATGCAGTATTGGAAAAACATTAATCTCTTTTTTCTATTCCATTCTATTTTTCTTTTTAGATTTGTAATTATTCTAATTGCTTATTCTAATATTATATTAAACTTCAATTCAATGAAAAATGAGTGGTAAGTTTACTTTAAATGAGGATGTGCTCGTTTAGTATTTTGAAAATTAGATGCATGTTTTCGATAGAAACAGAAATAGATGAACGTTCTTTTGAAGAATTCAATTTCTCTCAAACAAAAAAAAATAAAGTTAAAAAAAATGCAAAGCTCATATTTTTCTCATATTGTATTAACATATAAGTAGTAATATATGAATGCATAGCTATTTTAATACTCTATATAACTATGGATGTAATTCGATTTCTTTCTATATTGTTTTTCTTTTTGTTTTAGAATTTTTTTTTTGGAAAATAGGTGAACATTAGGTATTTTAGTGATGTTGAATGTGCTACAATATAATAGTGAAAAAAATGAGAGAATAAAAGAAATTAGAAATTATAGCACAAAAGTAAACATGCCCATTTGAAGCAATTAGTAACTCAATACTTATTTACGAGAGATCTATGATAGAAATATATTTTATTTTTCGAAAAGCGCTTATAAGCTATAACATCCAGATTTTAACTATAGAATCTATGCAGAAGAAAAAACTTATTATATTAATTGAAAATCTTATCCTACTCTATTTATCAAAATCGATTGAACTGATTTTCACACTAGAAAAATGTTTCATGTGACCACCCAGGTCGATCATTCCGGATGTTCGTAACGGCGTCGTAAACGGTATAAAACGGCGCTATTACGGGCCTTAATCCGTCAGCCCGTTTTACGACCACCATTTAGTGCAGTAAGCGATCATCGGTTTTACAAGAAAAGGCCATCGTTTTTCGCCGTATTTTAGCCGTAAAATGGTATGGCGAAAATTGGTCTCCATAAAATATCGTGCAATATGATACATTATTGCTTCTCGCATTATTTTCGTCATCTCATTTTGCGACTAAAATACGGCGAAAAACGATGGGCGTTTCTTGTAAAAACAATGATCGTTTACTGCACTAAACGGTGGTCTTAAAACGAGCTGACGGATTACGGCCCGTAATAGCGCCGTTTTTCGCCGTTTTATACCGTTTACGGTCGTTTACGACGCCGTTTTCTTTGACCTGGGCAAGGGGGAAAAGCTGAATTTTTGATTTCCAATGATTGCCCATTGATTGCTATTGATTATTAATATTCTTTTATGTCGAGCAATCATCGATCCGAATTCTTTTTGACCGATATAAGCGTTCTGTCTTTAAGAAGTATGAAAAAACCGAGTCAAATTGCTGTTACATTTTTAGTAAGAATAATAAAAGCAGGTTAAAACTTCTGGTGTGTGCTAAAACTATCTTTTGAAATTTTATGTAACACCGCGAAGAGAAAAGATGAACTTTGAATATGAAGAACTGGAATTGAAAGAGATCTTATTTGTTAGTCATAACACGCAAGTGAAGTTAGCAACATATTCGAATGAAATCATCCTATATTCGTCCAGGAACATGTTCCAAGTGCAACTGGACGAGTTCTATCCAACAGTATGCTCAGATTTCCTATAGTTCAAACAATGATTTTTGGGGCTATGGGCGCTGTGAAAACCCTAAAAACAATAATGTGAACTATGAAAAACTTGATTTACCATTGGATAGAGCTCATCGAGTTGCACTTGGAACATGTTCCTAGATGAATATGGAATAATTTCACTCGAATATGTTTCTAACTTCACTTACGTAATCATAACATGTTTTGAACGATCCGAGACAAAGTAGACATGTCATCTGAAAGAAGCTAGACAGCTGTGTGCTTATGTGAATATTTTTTAATACCATTGATGTTGACTGTAGAGTACGACTTAGCCACAGTTGCATTAATGAAATCCTCCGCATTCCTTAAATGGAGTCGAATTAACATTGAAGAAGATGATCAGATAGATAATTCTCGTCATCGTCATCATGGATTAAATCCTCATTGTTTGTATAATGTTCAGTAGTATTTTCGCCTTCTTCATAAACACTGTTATCTGAATCTGACTCAGAGCAATGATTACACCGTAACAGCTAAAAACGACAGCGCGTACTGTCGTTTCATGCAGTTTGCGGTCGTAAATACATGTAAACTGACGCTTGCTAGATACAGTATTGCGACCGTATTTTACTGTACCGTACACGATTAATCACGATCGTAAAAGGTCAGAAAATCAAGTATACGATTGTTTACGATACAGTGAGATGTGGTCGTAATACTGCATCCACCAAACGATGAAAAACTATCTAAAACGGCCGTTTACGACCAGGAGTGATTGATCTGAGAAGTCAAGGTCTGGGTCGTGTTTGTTAAGTTGAGAATAATTAACTATAAGGATATAATCCTTTCTGTATTGATAACCAACTAAGAGACAATTAGTTTTATTGTTTTGGACAAAAATCACTTTATTCTAAACGACTGCCAATGATCATTATTGATTGTTATTGATTGTCAAAGATTGCTTTGATTGCAATCAGCTTTTCTCCTTTGCATGCAACTTTCATATAATATTATTTGTTTTAGGAAACTGAACTAGAACAAGAGCTCAAAGTCACACAATAGGTTTCTCTCTATATCTAAATTCCATAGCTAAACTTTGAATGGTGTAATCAAATATTTCAAACTAGCGGTAGTACCTGGCGTTGCTCGAGAACCATCCATACTGAAAACTTATTATGTCAGAAAACGACAAGAGATGTACAGAATATGTGCTTGAGAGCTTTCCATCTATTACCACTACATGTCCAGCCGTGCATACACTTACATCCATGCTTAAATCTGATAATTCAGCAAATAGTGTGTGGGTGTGAGTGTGTTTCTCTTTATTCATGTCCATTGCCATACCTCATCAACACCTAGTGCAAAAAAGTAACAGTAAGAGGTGGATATTCTAACAATCGTAACAAATACTCTAAAATTTTTGAAAGATTCGTGAAAATTGCAGTATATCATAGTCTGTGTGGAATTTCATCCAAACTTCTCCCCCCACCCCCATCACTGGCGGTGACCCTGTCTCAACCTTCCTCTGAACCAAGTGGTATGCTATCGGAAAATTAGTGATACTAGCTATTACAGGAACAAAATGTATAAAGAACAGACAAGAATTCTTCTTTATATATATATATATATATATATAGAAGATAATTTATTGTCATATGAACTTCAAATGACAATGAAAATAATGAATATCATTTTTATTTATTTTCCAAAAAACTTTAAAAATAATAAAGAAAGAAATAAAAAAAACTGCATCTGTAGTTATGCAATGTATTGAGATATCTATGCAATCATATATTACTAATTATATGATACTACAATTCAAGCAAAATATAAACTTTGTATTTTTTAACTTTTTTTGCCCGTTGAAGAATGTAAAAAAAATAGTTTGTCCAAAAAGAAACGGATGACCAGTTACGCTGCTTAGGAACAGAAATACACAAGCAGTTATCATTTAAAAGAATATAATTGTTTCATTCTTAATTTAATTATTTACTCTTCTGAAAGATTATAGAATTTGATTAGAACGAGAATTATTCAATATTATGATAAAATAAAATGATAAGAACAGATAAATTCTTTGTTCGTGTTCAAAAAACTGGAAATTTGTTTATTTAATGAATACTTTTGTAAAAAAATCTTTGATAGAGTAATAAACTATATATTTATGATTTTGTTTGTGTAGATCTGTATGAAGATGAAATAAAGCTTTCGGATTCAGTTCGATCACAAAATTCTGAATCAAAATCAGACAAATCTATTATACAACATATTTACTTAACAAAGTTTTGTTGTAAAACATTAGAAGAATTTATTGGAATTAACAATATGATTATTATTGATCCAACTGAAGATTTTAAAAATACAATGGATGCATTTGTTAAAATATCAAAAACAAGATCAGAAAATGAAACAAGTTTAGAATTTGATAATCATTTAAAAAAATTTAATTCACAAATAACATATACGGGAAATCAAAAGGGTGGTAAATTTGAACAAATATTTCGTGGTAAACAACCAGATTTTACATGGTCAATTACTACACAGTTTTATGCATGGAATATTGTAACAATAATTGAAAAAAAAAAGAATGATTTAACAGAAAATGAAATATCTCAAATGTTAGAATATCTAAGAATGATTGTTCAAATATCTCCTGAACGAACATATGCAATTGGATGTTTAACTAATTATAAAGATATTATTTTTGGTAAAGCAACAATAATAAATAATAAATTTAATTATGAAATATTTGTATCAAAAAATGCAATTAAAGAATATTGGAAATTTCTTCATTGCAATCCGATTTATTTAGGACACGTTAAATTTTCTATTCCAGAAAATTTTCAAATTAATTTATTATTAGGTAAATATTAATTTTAATAATAGTTCAATGTTAACTTTGTTGCAACAGACAATAATTTAGAAGAGAACATACATTTTTATTCGATTTATTAAAATTGCATAAATTTTTATTTAACATATATGGGCAATTTCATTTATTAGGGACGTGACGTCGCAAAATTAAAATGCTTATATCTCTGGATAACAAACTTCTTTAGAGCTAGGTTTTTTATGGCATAAGCATACTAAGTTACCGCATGCAGCCTGAAAAATTCAGCCATATAACTCTCCGTTTAGAGAAGTTATCAGCAAAAAGTAGTGTTAGGAACGTGACCAAATAAAAGACATCAACTTTCACTGCGCGTCCTTCAGCTTAAAAGAACTATAAATTGAGGCAGTATTAGGGATGTCACTTTTGCGTTCCGTTCCCAGGAACGGGGAATGGGAACGCGACACATGCTTCCTTTATCTTAATAGAACTTTTCCAATTCCGTCGAGTTAAAGACAGCTTCTTACAAATTAAAAGTTTTTACAGAGTTTGACCAAAAGTAACCGAGATCGAAGAAACCAAATCTGTAATCGATTTCTCAAAGTTGTGAGTTTCATTTTTTTCATCATCGAAAGGGTTTTTTTCCGAATACAATAATTTTTACAGTGTGACCAAAGTAATTGAGGCCGAGGAATCAGAATCTGGGATCGGTTTTTCGGAATTTCGAGTTCGGTTTTCGAAGAAAAATTCACTTTTTTCAAAAAACACATATATTATTGGTCAAAAGTATCCTCTTCAGGTCTCAGCTACTGTACGAGCTGTGGCGCTGAAAATAGAAGTTTTTAAGATTCTCGATAAATGTAGATCAGTGGCGAAACCTGCGTCCCGAAAGAATGAGACACAAGAGATTATTAGCTAAACTATCTATAGCCATTGTGCAATCTGTAATTTCGCAAGAACGAAACCTTCTGAGCTCAGGCTTTCGCTATTTTAACTCTCTGCATATTGGCTATCTCTGGTGAGAGTTTCATCAATATTCACTGAGCTCTTATGAAACTGAACTCATTTTATTAAAGATATGGGTGACAGGAAAAATCGTCAGTAAGCAATGTGTTTGCTACAATTCAGTCTGGGATTGACACATGGATCTCAAACTTACAGCTAAGAATGTCCCATAAATATTTACCATCCTCTAAAAGTTTCATCCTTATATCACTTACTAGAGGAAATGGTACTGTGCTGAGTGTGTAAATGCTGTCACAGGTTTAGATACTCAAATACTCAACCAAATGGCTTCATCTTTGAAGCATATGAACAGCATGTCTAAAGGCATAGTTATATCGATACATAATCACAAAATTTTAAAGGTAACACAGAAAACTAGAGATGAACTTTCTAAGTCAGTCCTTTTTCGCTAATGAACACTATCGTAATTATGTGTGAAGATTTAATCCTTTTCATAATCATACATTTACTATCGCCCTATCCATCACTATGATGCTTGTCCTCATTCATCATCGGCATAAAAACGTTTGGAAGATCATTGACACATATGATTTCGATGACTAAATAACTTTCAAGGCTCGTCAATAAGCAAAAAGCATCTCTCCATCATATTTTCTCAAGAGTGTAGAGCAATAACAGAAAAGGTTCAGATAGTGAAAAAAATGACTAAGAAAGTTCATCTCTTACTTTCTCTGTTACCTTGCAAATTTGTAATTACTTTATGATAGAATTATGCCCCTAGACATGCTGCTTTTATGCTTCAAAGATGAAGTCATTTGATTGAGTATTCGAGTTTCTAGATCCCTGACAACAACTTCACATTCAGCTAAGTGCCATTTCTCTGCAGTAAGTGATGTAAGGCTGAAAATTTTAGGGAATGTTGTATATCAGTGGAGACCCTAAAATATACATTTGGGGTCTATATGCCAATTCCAGGCTGAATTGTGGAGGACGCGTTGCTTACTGACGATTTCTCATGCCACACGTGTCTTTAGTAAAATGAGTCTAATTTCATAAGGACTCGATGAACATTGATAAAAGTTTTATCGGAAATAGCCAATATATAGAGCTTTTAAATAATGGAAGATTGAGCTCAAAAGGTTTCATTATTGTCAAGTTATAGATTCTACAATGATCATAGATAATTTGATTAATAACTTGCTTGTGACTCATTCTTTCGGAATGGCGATTTTGTTCCTGATCTACATTTATTGAGCATCATAGAAACTGCAATTTTCAGCGCCACAGCTTGGATAGCGGCTGAGATCTGAGGGGAGACGCTGTTAGTCAGTACTGTATCCTAACAGAAACCTTTTTTTGCTAAAAATTTATCTCTTTTATGAAAAGTTATTTTTTTATGAAAGAATAATTTTCTTATCGAAAAAACTAAGCTTTTAACAACAAAGAAATCATTGCAAAAAAATAATTTATTATATAGAGGATAAGTGTTTTTCCAAAGGAATAATTTTTTTGTTCAAATATTTTTTTGAAAGAAATGACTTTTTTCGTAAAAATCTTTTTTCTTGCAAAACTGAACTCGAAATTCCGAAAAAATCGATTCCAGATTCTGATTCCTCAGCTTCAATTACTTTGGTCACACTGTAAAAATTATTATTTTCGGAAAAACACCCTTTCGATGATGAAAAAATGAAACTCAAAACTTTGAGAAACCGATTACAGATTTGGTTTCTTCGATCTCGGTTACTTTTGGTCAAACTTTGTAAAAACTTTTAATTTGTAAGAAGCTATCTTTAACTCAATGGAATTGGAAAAGTTCTATTAAGATAAAGAAAGCATGTGTCGCGTTCCCGTTCTCCGTTCTTGGAAACGCAGAACGCCAAACACTTTAACATAAAAAGATGAGAAAACATATTTACCATTCTCGCCATAGTGAAATGAAACTAGAAAAGGCAATTTTGAGAGGCGTGCTCGTTCCTAGGAACGGAACGCTGACACCTCTAGGCAGTATTCTTGAAAAGTAAATAGTACATGCTGTAGGTGACATTCTATAGTACAAAACTTCTATATGAAGTTTTTTCTCAGTATGATTAGATTTTTCAGAAACTCTAATTTACTTTTTGTTAGGGACGTGACACAACGCGAATAGACTATTTTTGATCCTTTCATATTTTTCTGCAGATACTTACTGATTTATCGCTAAACTTAGGACTCCTATTCTTCAAAGTGTGCTCTTTCATAAATCACATTAAGAAGCTATTTTACATTTTGTTAAGGTTTCCAACAAATTTGCTTACTAAGAGGGGATTTTAACGATTCTTCTTTGATTTTTTAAGAAAAAGACAAGTAAATTTACGCAATATGCTCACAACTTTATTAAAACAGGTTTAGTGGTTTTCGAAACTACGAAAACGAAAAACGAACATCATTTATTATAAACTGGAAAGCACAATTTGTAAATATGCTACACTTTTGAAATAGAGCTTCGGCTTTCACAAAAAATGCGTTTGCCCCATTTTTCGTGAAATTGCCCATATACCTCAATATCCTGACAAGAAATCATTCATACATTAGATCATGCATACAGTACTTACCAGGACTAGTTACCGGACTGTATTTCCTATCAAATTGAATAAGAATAAGACAAGATAGTTTTAGATTGGCAAATAGTTTGAGAAAAAATTGTAATAATAAAAAATAAGTAATTGTACATAATAGTTTTCGTCGGAAAAAGAAATAAATCTTTTTCATATATCTCATAAGAGTATATACACAACTATCGGATGTCGTTCGATTGTATATTATTGTTACAAGTAGTTCTCTATAAGATGAAAATAAACCTAAGAGAATTCATTTTCCATGGCCTATTGATCAAGATTTATAATTGTTTTACTGGATTTTTGGTTAATTCCAAATTATTTATCGAAGAATCAACGTTTTTAAATATTCGATCTTACATTTTTCTCGTAGATAGATTCGATAATCATTAGAATATTCTGGAAGTTTCAGCCAAGATGGATGTTTCCTTCTTAAAATATTCAATTAGAAAAAAAAATAATCGTTTCCTACAAAGAAGTCATAGAAATCGAATTCACTTGAAAACTTTATATTTTGAGAAAAGAACATTCATTTTGACTGACACTTGCAACGTATTCTAATGATCATCAAATGTATTTATCGAAAAATTTTAACGTTGAAAATTTAGTAATTTGATTTTCGGTAAATATCTAGAAATGAGTCAAGAATTCAGTTAAATGATCATAAAACTTGATCAATATGTCATGAAGATGAACTCTCTTAGGTTTATTTTAGTTTTATAGAAACGTATTTGTAGCGATAATCAATGTTTCTAAATGAAAATTTATAACAAGATATACATTTACCCATTGTTTATATAAATAAAATATACATATAGATATTCTCTCCATAGCCAAAATATATAAAAGTGTACAAAAAAAAATGAAAATTTTCAGAATGTAGAGAAATGAAAATAAAATAATGAGCATACGAATAAAGAGTCAGTCTCTATCTACCGATGAAAGTCAATATATAGTTAAAACATATTGTTGAAATCAAAAATAATTTTCAATATATTAGAAGACAAGTGGAAATTTCTTCTGTGAATTGTACATCGTACACTTTACTTTTTGTAAAAGTACAGAGCATCATGTATTTCAAGAGTAGCATATGTTTTGTACATTTTACTTCTGCTATGTACACTTGCCGTTAGAAACACTAACCATAATATGAAGTTGAATTGCATCGACCAGTTGAATATGTTTCTTCGTCAGTAAATTAAAATTTCATTTTGTTTTGTGTTGTAAAATTTTTAATAAATGTTCCTGTCTAATGAGTAATATTAGCCTTTAAATATGTTGAAATTTTATTCTATTTTTTTAGGAAGAGGTGCAAATGGTATGGTTTATCAAATTGAATATCAAAATATTCAATATGCCATGAAAATTTCAAATAAAAAGTCAACAAAAGAATATGAAATAGCTGAAAAAATGAAAAATTACATAAATGAACATTCACTATTAGATGTTAAAATAATGAACATGTTTAATATACAAGATTTTATTCTATCAAGACCAGTTGGAAAATTAATGGACGAAAATCAGTTATGTCAAAAGAAATATATTACTCAAATATTCAAGCAATTAGCAATTGGTCATAAACTTGGACTTGTTCATCGAGATATTCGAACATATAATTTAATATTATTTAATCATGAAGATGTTTATTTAATCGATTGGGATTCATCAACATATAATGGTTTTAATGGTGAATATGAAGGATCATTTCTGACAGCATCAACATCTGTACTGGCTGAGTATGAATGGACACGTGGTAAACAAGTTTCGGCTTATTTTGCTGATGATTGTTTATCGATCATTTATATGTTATTATTATCTAATTGTACAAAAGAAGAAAAAGTTAAATTAAAAGAACGTGCCCGTGATGGTTCTGCTGGCAGATTAATCATAGCACGTGAAGAAGTTTTACAACGTTATCCAAAAGAAGCTATAGATTGTCTTTATGAAATTGAACAGAAACGTGCTAGTTTAATAAATATAGATGATTTACATAATCAGTGTCAACAAATAATTAACAAATGCATAAACTTGACTTAGTTTCATAAAGTCGTTTTTTTTTCTTACATATATAATAGGTTTTTGTTCTTCAATTTATATTTTGTTGTTTATTAAAAAAAGTAAATAACATGAACGTATTCACTGATTTATTTACATTGGTGTAACAAATTCTATGAGAAAGTTTATAGAAAATACTTTGCACTCGGACATATTTTGTAAGTTTAACTTTATTACAGTGTTTGAGAGTGTTTCTCCCTTCGAAAAGTTAATTTTTCGATAACAAAATCGATTTCTAGATTTATACGTATTCTGATAGGCCTTGCGGCAGGCTTTAACCTTGCATAACTATTTTTTTGTTAAAAGAAAAAGTTTACTTTTTTTTCGCTTCTTCCACATCCAGTTTTTTCTTCGTATACCGTTTACGCGGGCAATCCTTACTCAATAACGACTCAATATAAAAGTGGTAGTGTTTTCCTGTTATACAGAAGACACGCGGAACTAGATTATAATAGAGCCGGATTTTTCAACTCCTCTTTTGTTTAAATAAGAAACGTAAGTCTTTGATTTTAATAAGCGATGTTTTTGGTTACGAATTTTAGAATTTTTCAGACGTTTTTTAAAAGTGAAGAAAGAAAAATTTTAAAAAAAATCAGGGCTTTATTAGGATCTAGCCCTAAGGATGGGTACCCTACAACTTGAAAATCATTCCGACTTGCTTAGCTCAAATCCTCCTGTTGAAAACGTTGCCCATGTAAAGAGTACTTTTTACCAATGAATTGACTATAACTGGTGAATATCTTGCATATTTGGGAAGATATTTTAATCATAATGTACTCTAGCCAAGGCTAAATTCTCTGAAATTTTGGTTGAAATCGGATAAAAAATAAAAAAGTTTGTTTGTGAGGTGACAGAAAATACGTCAGTAACAACGCATTTTTCTAGATATAATTAGCTGACGATACTGAATATCAATAAGATTCATATGCATGGAGCTCAGAGATTCTCTACTTAAAAACAACGGTAAGAATGTCAATCTATCTGTATTATTTATTCAAAAATAGAAAAACAGGTCCATCATCATTCGAGTCGTTGAGCGTAAAGCTTCTCTATGAACTGCTCGAATATATCAATCTCGAGCAAATCCTTCATTCGTCCACCAATGTCTGCCACATCTCGACTGAATTATCTTCAATGATTTTCGTTTTCACTTCCGGGACATTCAACTGTCGTCTAAATCAAATTCTCGTCTTCATC